CTCCTCCTCCTCAGATTCGCAACAAGCTGAACCAGGAGCAGAACACCAAGCTGCAGCAGCACAAAGACCTGCTCAACAAGCGCAACATGGAGGTCACGCTGATGGACAAGCGCATCGGGGAGCTGAGGGAGCGCCTGTATAAGAAAAAAGCTGAGGCACGTCAAAAAGAGAACATCCCTGTAAGACCAGCTCATTGAAAGGAACATAAAGCACATGTACACTCGCCGGGCCACTGGGGTTCACAGATACAGGCTGTGGTTTGTGAGCGGAGTCCGGCCTTCTTGCAATAGACGGACTTTACCACGAGCTTCTCCTGAGGCTGTTTTTTTTTTTATTTCATTTCCGTTCAGGATGATTTTCAGCCTCCTTCTAAGAAAGTGAGCTCTGCTGGCAGAGCAGCTGCAGCTGATGTGCTCCCGCCGCCCTTGGGGACCCGGGGTGGGGGGGTTTGGAGGTGGCTTACCAGTGCTAATCCAGCTACAACTAAACCTTTGCCACAAGCACCCCGATTGGGCTGAGCCCTGAGGCCAGGCACTGCTCTGTGTGTAGTATCTCTCGGCTCCTTGCGCGGGAATCGTGCTTCTGTGTGGGCCGTCCTTGTGTGTCCACAGCGGCTCGCAGCAACGGTGCCTCTCTCTCCCCCCGCAGCTGAACAGGATCAACGGGACGCCCCCCCCCCAGCCAGCTCAGGGCAGCTCGGGGCGCGTGGCCGCTGTGGGGCCCTACATCCAGGTGCCGGCCCCTGGCAGGCAGGAGGGCAGCTACGCCATCCCCGCCGATCCGCTGAAGCCCCAGTCCCTCACGGTGTCGGCCACCGCCACCCACGCCAGGTCCAAATCAGGTCAGTGCAGCGCGGTTTTCCGCAGTGGGAAGCAAGCACATTGGTGTGTCCATCCTGGTCCGGAAGGCTTTTCCCCTTTCAGTAGCAGGTAGATAACCGACGCCCGCTGTCCCTCATCTCACTGGGAAGACAGTGCAGGTGGGTCATTGGTGACGCTGATCAAGCTGCTGAGACAGTATCCTGCTGAGCCCCCTCTCCACACGCCTTGCTGCGTAAGCTAGGTTTAGAGACGGTGTCCCCCTGCGCGGGCTGAGCCCAGCCCTGCTGCTCGTCTCGGCCTGGTAGCGCTGCACGTGCTGGTGGGTGTCTAAAGCCATTTCATCCCCTTCAATTCACAAACTGCGGCCTTAACACTGGTGGACCCTGCCTCTTTCTTCATCAAAGAAGCCTTCTTCAAAGCTATGAATGCAGGTTGGTCTGGTAGAGATACTGAGGCTGAGGAGAGTTGTTGCAGCACCGCTTTCCTACATAAGAGTACCTAGTTCAATATTTGAAGTGGGCAACAATGCAGTAGCTGTGTTAATGGGTTTTTGACGCTGTTTTTCCATGAATTGCTCTGGGACTGTCGCAGGCAGGGAGGGATTCCAGATCGGCACGGCATGCAGCTCGAAAAGGCAGCGGTCTCAGGACAGGCCAGAGTATGCCGCGCTCACGCCTCGCAGCGGGAGGCGTTTTTTACTGCCCTCGCCAGCCCCATCTCCGTCTCTTCCTGCCTCTTCGGCCGCAATATGCTTGCCGTGTTCGATGTGTTTTAATTTTTTTTCTCTCTCTCTCTCTCTCAGTATCCTCCTGCAGTCTGTTGACATTGTATTCTCTTGTCTTTCCCTCCTCTTCTCCTTCCCCCTCTTTTTTTTCCCCCCCCGTCTGTTCTGTTCCTCTCCCGTCTGTCCTGCCACTGGGGTGCGGGGCGGCTGGCTTTGGGGTGGCCTGCAGAGACAGATGGGCGCGGTGTGAGAAAGTCTGCCGGCCCCTGGAAGGTCTCTGATTTAGACATCATAGTGGATCCCGTGTTGCCATCACCTACTGCTGCTCTGCAGTCTCCCGATCTCAGACACGGGCACTTGGCGTCCCCTCTGCCTGACAGTGTGTCCTGTGATCCCGCAGGTGCTGATCTCAGTATGGAGCACTGAGCCTTATCGTGTGCGCGCACAGTCCCATCCCCGCACAGCCCGTCCGTGTGTGTGTGCACGTGCACTAAGGGACAAGCCACAGGAGCAATCTCAGACTTTGAGTTGGAACTGTGACTTGATCCTTAGATGACTGGGTTAGTGTAGGAAAAGCAGACTTCTGTATTGAAATGGGGGTGTGTGTGAATATAATCTTTTTGAGATTTTTATGCATGCATTATGCAAAAAAAACCTCTGGCAGTTAACTTGACATGCCCGGTATTTTCAGAAGCTCAAGTAAGACGTTAAGAACTGCAGTTCCTTTCTGAGTTTAGACGTTGCTCTCTCAGTGTTTTGAGTAAATACACACCTTCTGCTTATCACTGCCATCACAGAATGTGTGAGGGCCTGCTGGTACCCTGACCGATAACTTTCACTAAGGGTGAAACAGCTTATGTGGAGTTATTGTTAGGTATGAAAGGCGGTTTTATGAGGGCAACCCTGGCTCTGTATAACCGCCATGGTTTTGAGTGAGCAGTGAAAAGTAACGTGTGCATCTTCTGAGCTGCTGCACTGTTAGTGAGTAGAACAGGACAGGGCACAGACAGGGCAGACAGCCTTTTGTCAAAAGTTACTACAAGCAGAAGAGCATTAATGGCTATCTGCTCCAGACTGTCTGAGCTAATAAACTCAGCACAGTTTCCAGGATCCAGCGCCTGGTGTTAGTTATGTGAAGAGTACCTGAAATGGATCAATGGCGTGCAGTGGGTGTCCTGTGTGTGGTGTGTGTGTGTGTGTGATGCCGAGCTGTCTGGGAGTGCAGCAGGACAGTGTGTGGTGGTGCTGTGCTCTCCTCTCTCTCCACCCCCTCCGTCACACAGATAAGGTTCACTGTGCTCTCATACCTGCTGTGTCAACTGATCTCTGCATCAGTCAAATTTACCCCTTCAGTAAATTTGAAGTTTGACTGCAGTTTTTTTTTTAACACTGATTGATTTTTGTCTTTTGATCGTCCAGTATTGGAAGTAAATGTGAAACGTTACTGAAGTCAGCTTCCACATTAACACAGATCATGTGTATCCTATGTAGTACTTCTCTTTGTGTAGAAATGTTGGGGGGAAAAAAATCAGCTTTTTGTTGTAAGCTACTGTAGTGTTCCTTCAAAGAAAGAATGCCCGTGTTCCTTTAGCCCACCATGTTTGACACTGATGTGTGTGGGTTAAGCAGACATGGGGTGTGAGCTGAAGGGCAGCTCTCACCTGTGTGGGGACTGGTTGATTAAAATCAAGCACCATTGTGACTGCTCCTTCAATGCACCTGTGGACACTTAAACACTACCAGCATTGCTGTGGCTGTTCCAGATCCCACCTTGATTAATCACTTTGTTTTTCGACTTGTCAGTTCCTGTGTCCTATTTAAAATACAGGTGTAAAACACTGCGGTAGCTCTCATTAGAAGCCACAGAAATATCTTTATTTTCCCACTATGGATGAGAGTCTTGCACTAAACAGCCAACTGACAGAGCCCAAGGGGGAAAACTACTGAGGGCGATTTGGATTTGGCCACCAGCATTTTAGTGGGAGTTATCCTGAATATACAGGGAGGTTCAATAGCAGCAATGCAGTTGTCATCCTGCTGCCCCGAGCATAGCAGACGGGGATATTGGGACTGTTTGACACGACATCCCCTTGAGTATGCTTATATTTTTATCAGGCCGAGAACTTCAAATGGATCATTAAGTAATTTAATTAACATATCCAGGATTCTAAACTCTAAAAGCAGTTAAGAAATGTTAACACAAAAAGTTTTAGAATTATCACACCATGAAGTGAAATGAAATGTTCTGGAAATGGCTCATTTTTACAAGCCTTTGGTAACGCATTATCACTTATTACTTGTAGATGAAAATAATCAGTGTTGTATAAGAAGGATGGAAAATCCCGTTACTTCTTGCTCACTTCAGACTTATGAAGTCCTTGGTTGTGTTTCATTTTTATGAATGCCGCCTATGCTAAGTGTCATACCGTTTTTAAAATCTTACTACTAATTTTTTTTTTGTGAACAAGCAATTGCTTACAAGTAAAAGCCTCTTAGACTTCTAAATCCAATTAAAAAGTGTACAGCCACCAGGAATAGAAAATCCTTCCAGTGCCGTCTATGTGCTGCGTCTGCGATGCAGCACTGACACAACCACTCCCTCTCAGACGGAGGTCTGCTCTTCTTGTAGTTTACCTTCCTTCCCATAATTGTCTGGAAACCCCTGCGGCTCTTGCTCTGTCCTGTCCAAATAAATTAGGCTTCATTCTGCTTGGGAAAAGCAGAGCAGTTGTGTGTGTTTTTAGGAGCACAGTGCTGCCTGTTTGTTGTTTTATTGATGCAATCACTTGCCATTTGTTCCTTTCTTTGGACATGCTCAGAGCTGACTGAATAATGCTGCCTAGTGTTATTTGCTTCATACTGTCTGGTTTCATCACATTTCTGTCTGCGAAGGCGTCTTTTTAAATTAAAACGCAGGTTATTGCATTTTAGCAGCAATCTGCCTTCCTTGTCCCAGCTCATACCCTGTCGTTTCCTGCTCCTCCGGGAGCCTGTATCTGCGCCTCTTTATTTACTGTCCTCGGATAAGACGCCGCCCGTTTTGGGGCTCCTGTACGCACTGCTGCACGGCGAAGTCGATGTGATGTGCCCCCGAGTCCTCTGTGTTTCAACAAGGGGCGGGGAGGGGAATCGTCACGCATGGCCTTGGATCTCGGATGTTGAGGGGGGGGGCGGGGCTGTGCAGAATTTAGCGACCCAAAGAGGAAGATGGCTTGTCCTGGGCCCGGTCTTGTGCGAAGCACGCTGAAGGAGAATGAGAGAGTTAGCTGTCAGGGAGAATGACAGAGAATTCAGCGATAGAGAATCGCCTAACAAACAAGTGGAGGGCAGGCGCAGCCTGTGGTGGATTTTGTCTCCATGCAGGGAGACCGTCCTGCTCCGTGTCCTCTCCCCCTCTCACGCTCTCTGTCTCACTCCTCCAGCTAATGATGCCACGTGGCCCACCCTCACCAAGCAGGCGTCCTCTTCGCTGAAGCCGCCCAGTATGGACTGGAAGGAATCCAACATGGACACAGCTGCCAAGCCGGGGAGCGCGCAGCCCGGCACCCCCACTTCTGCCCCAGACAAGGTGGGCTCTCTCAGTTCATCCCCAGACTCCCGAGTAATTCGCTCGGCCGGTTTTGCCAATAGGGCTGCGGCGACAGAAAAATCCGGAGCCGTCGTTTTCCTCTGTATCTGCGGGAATGACGGATGATGGCATTCGTGGCAGTGGCTGGCGGCCTTTCTAAACCAAAAACGACTCCGGCCTGAGGTTATAGCTTTTCACAACAGTACGCGTGACGAATATATGCCTTCATCTAGGTCTTGTAAGGGTGATGCTTACTATACGCGTTACCTTGCTTACAGCTAAAGGGTCTCTTCGTGTTCCTCTGCCTGACTTTAGGGCTCTGACCCCTGCAAGGCCGCCCCGCCTGTGCCCGCCCTGTCCAAACCGCCGCCCCCGAGCTATGGCACCTACCCCAGCCCGGTGCTGCTGCCCGCGGGCTCCTCCAGCTCCCTGGAGCGCCGGAAGGACGGCAGCCTGCCCAGAGCCGGTGCCAGCTCCGCCGCCTGGCAGAGACCCGCGGCCCCGCCGGGCTCCTCCCAGCAGATCCAGCAGCGCATCTCCGTGCCCCCCAGCCCCACCTTCCAGCCCGCCGGCTCGCCGCTCTTCCCCCCCGGAGAGGCGCGGCCCGACCCGCCGCTGGCCGTGGCGGTGCGCCCCTTCATCCCCGACAAGGGCTCGCGGCCGCAGTCGCCCCGCAAGGGGCCCCCCACCGTCAACTCCAGCTCCATCTACTACATGTACCTGCAGCAGGCCGTGCCGCCCAAGACCTACCAGCCCAACAGCAAGTCCGCCGTCAAAGCAGGTACGTCTCCGCACCGCTGGATGGTGTAAGCGCTGCAAGCAGTTTTTTATATTAATGGTTCCGTTTCACATTTTAATTTAATTTCTTCAAAATATTTGCCTTTCTGAGCATTCGGAGACACCACGATTTTGTGCACTAACAGGTCTGCATAGGTTCCACACCCAGGTCACCCGCTGCTGCTATTTGTGCAGTATCCGAAGACACGAACGCCTTGCGCTCCACCCCTGCCGCACACACTGGCCCTAGCTGTCCCCGTGTGCACAGACTCTGCCTGTAGCGTCCCCGCCTCCTGCTCACGTGCGTCTCCTGTTCCTCTCCCTGCAGTGTACGGGAAACCAGTGCTGCACTCGGGCTCGGCCTCCTCCTCCCCGCTGCTGTTCCTGCAGGGGGCGCCGTGCCCGGGCGGCCAGCAGGGGAGCGAGGAGGGGGAGCCGGAGGGCCAGCCCGCGGGGCCCCGGGAGGGCCCCCCCAGCGTGGACAACATCCCGCGGCCGCTGAGCCCCACCAAGCTGACGCCCATGGTGTACTCCCCGCTGCGCTACCAGAGCGACGCCGAGCTGGAGGCCCTGCGCAAGCGGCTGGCCAACGCGCCGCGCCCGCTGAAGAAGCGCAGCTCCATCACGGAGCCCGAGGGCCCCAGCGGCCCCAACATCCAGAAGCTGCTGTACCAGCGTTTCAACACGCTGGCGGGGGGCATGGAGAGCGCGGGCGGGGGGGGCACGCCCTTCTACCAGCCCGCGCCCCCCCCGGACTACATGGGCGGGGTCCTGGCCGACGTCGACAACGGCAACACCGCCAACGCCAACCTCCCCGAGCCGCCCGCCCTCTCCCCGGCTCCGGCTCCCGAGCCGCCGC